TCGGTAACTTACGGGCTCGCTACTATGGCGCATAGCTATAGTTTTGTAAATTTCTCTGCATGCCTACATTTAGTAGGTACCATATTATTTTATTATATTACTCTTTGTCTAGTATAGACGTGCCACTTGGCCTCGGAGATATGTGTGTGTTGTTTTTTACCAAACTAGGTATCGTACGTGCGCTATTTTTGACATGGAAATTATTTATGTTATAATTATAAATATAATATATTAAAGAAATTATTTATGTTATAAATAATTTTATAATGTTATAAATAACTTTCCATGTAAAAAATAATATGTCGCAAATAAAAATAACTGTCACTCAGAGTCGGTCAACTCGTGTGTGTAAGTACACTCGGCGACACATCAAGCTATACTTTTCCAGTATAACATGGCCTCGCTTTGTTTCAATTTCCCGTACAATAAGAGTACCGCATAAACTGGTTTATATAACTTGATTTGTCGTCGTGCTTACAAGCCCGGCACGCAAACATTCACAACATATTAGTCGGCCGTTACACGCGCAAACATCAATACTCAGACATAAACTGGACTCAGTTTTGTTTTAGCAGGGTGTTCCATCCAACTTATATTGTTCGTCCATGTTATTCCTAAACAGAGCACGAAAATGTAAAGGTGAATAATTTATTCTGCTTATGGAGTAGCGGTATAAACAGAATAAACTCTTTACCTGTCTAGGCCGTTTGTATTTAGGAAGCTGAAATTAGGTAACGTACTTACTTGTACCGTATGTAAATGTCTCCAAATGTTGTTTAGGTACTAATTTGTACCGTAGTACAGGTGGTTGATCACAAATAAAGTAGTCTAAATAGAGTTGGGTATAAATATATATTTTTATTCTAAAGAACTTTGTTACACTTTATGAACAATACATAAAACAACCCGGTTGTCGAGACGATTCCGATTTCCGAACACAAAGAGCTTACTGCCAGAAGTAATTGAAAATTTAGTAAAAAAACATATTATTATCTAATAACAATAGTAATATTCTCATTCTCAATAGTAATAAAATCGATCTGCTTCAAAATCCTTATCCAAACAAAGTCTGTGTCCGTATTCACAAATGCCAGGTTCGTTTCACATAATAAAATAGCTAAACCTTCGCTAGCAAAATCAGTGTCCGGTATAAAAAAAAGATCATTGTAGTAGGTAAAACAGATGTCACTAAATATAAAATGCAACGGCACATTGACGAAGCGCAGTCAACAAATTGAATACCTACTAACAATTCCGAGAGGCCAGAGAGCCAAACGCGTGCGCCACCGGCGCTCGTCATTCAACTCCCCCGTCTCACCCCGTCCCTACCCCGCACGACTTGTCCCCCGCATACCTCTTACCGCCACTTAGCTAATAAGCAAGTGAGAACGCGATATTATTGAACGAAAAATAGTGTGCGGGAATTTCATAAAACTTGTTCCAGGAAATACGTGTTTTTCAGTAACCCACAACTTTGTGAAATAAATTTTTGTCATTTAGTCAGTCTCCATTACATTGGCGAGGCTTCTATAAAATAATTTCTTTACTTTAACTATTAGTGAGTACATTATGAACGACCAAAGTTCAGGTAAAATTTATGCAAAAAAGCAGATTTTTGGAGGCTTATACTGAATTTGTTTCTACAAATTTAGATTTTTTGTTTAGATAGGAACCTAGATATAGTGCACAAAATACCTATTAATTATATTATATATTAAAATTTTCAAAGAAAGATCTATTACAACGCCATAATCACATACAAGCTTTTGTATGAAAAGTTAGACGGGTTGGCCGCTCTTAAGACATGTTGGACATACGTGAACATACGTTCGTGCCAATACTTGCAATTAAATACATGTTAATTATCATTTTAATTATCCTGTCCTATAATATTGTCTTGAAAGGCAATAAAATATCAGGGTACATTAATTTACTAATTGAGCCCTGCGAATGTCGTAATAGTTTAAGATATGAGAATTAAATGTCCTATTTTATAGATAATATAAAAATATAATAAGAATAAGCATAGAATATAATATATATAATATACATTTTCAAGCTTATTAGACTTAAATTAAGTCTCAGAAAAAGCAATTTTACGTGGTAGAGCCATGCTCAGCTATATTAGTAGTATAGTTGTAGCACGAATGGGTCGGCTCGACCGGGGAAGGACCACGCTCTCACAGAATACCAGCGTAAAATAGCAGCTTAATGCTGCTGTGTTTCGTATAGTGAGTGTAGAGAACCGGAGACCCTTTTTACTGGAAAAGAGGCATTCCATCTTAGTCCTCACGGGTGACAACGCATCTGCATTTTGATTCGCAAACGAGGATAAATATAGATGTCTATAGGCCACAGCAACCACTTACCATCAGGTGGACTGTGTGCTCGTTTGTCACTCTATCCTATATAAAAAAAACCTACAAAGAAAGGTAGACTGAGTACTGTGTATATGATAAGTAACGCCGAAATCAGGCCAAAACCATGCTCAACTTATATATCATACATATTCACTCATGCACACAATTGCGTATTTAAAATCATTGGCAACCAACAATATGGGCTTAGATTCATATGTGTGCGTCCAACAGTGAACTTTTACGATCTAATAAAGAAAGAAAGGAGATATATGTGTCCGTGAGTGCGTGTTAAGAAGTTGAGCATGATTTGGGCGTCAATTGAAATGTTCGTAATGTTCTGTCTATCTTTTTTTTTAGTCTGATATGAGAACAAATTAAAGCGGAATTTAGTGACCAAACAAGTACATAAATGTGTAACATAATAAGAAAATCATACACTTAGTGTATTTAGTGACATTAAAACCTGTTGGAAACCAATAACAATTAAGGTACACATAAATATTTTTCAAGTGCCAAAGTTACGACTGTGTTTTGGATCATGTGCGAGGAAAATACATTAAGCAGCACGTATCATACTCACAACAGGAATAATATGCCTTAATTACTCTGTCCCCATTTCCACTATCGGACAACTAAGCGGCCGACGGATCTTCACAATTAAACCAAACGGTTTGCTTCGTCTTACTAAATGCGTAAATCAAAGGACTGGATTAATCTGTCGGCATCTTCAAGGCACTAGTGAATAGGCTTTTGTTACACTAAGACTGTGCGATTTTCTTAATGGCTTCATCACCACTTAACACCAGATGGGATTTTAGTCAAGCCCTAGCTTATAATAAGCAAAAAAAAAAACAGCAAACTTATTTTACTTTGTGCGTTGCTTGTTACCCCTGAGGACTAAGAGGGATTACTACATTAACAGTAAAACGGTTTTGATTCTCGCCATTATCCATAAGAAACACAGTAGCATTATGTTGCATAATTACGCTCTCATAGTATTCTGTATAGACAGACCGTGATCCTTCACTGTTTATCATCATCGTCATTACAGTCCATCACAAGTCACAAAGGCCAGACCAGAGCCACTTGAATCCTTTGTCTTTCTGGATCTTGTATACGTAGTAGAGTTATGATGCAGCTAACTATTAACTGTATAGTTGTAGCATGAATGGGTCGGCTCGACCGCGGAAGGATCACGCTCTCACAGAATACCAGCGTAAAATAGCAGCTTATAACACTGCTATGTTTTGTATGGTGAGTTTAGAGAACCGGAGACCCTTTTTACTGAAAACGAGGCATTCCATCTTAGTCCTCACGGGTGGCAACGCATCTGCGCTTTGATTCGCAAACGAGGATAGATGTAGATGCCTATTGGCCACATCAACCATTTACCATCAGGTTGACTGTGTGCTCGCTTGTCACCCTTATCCTATAAAACAAATTTTTTACCAGATCGTCACTCTAACGAGTAGTCCTACACTTCATTTACGGGTACGAGGCTGCCTTGGTTGAGCTAACGCATACGTGCTACTGTCGTAATATACTGCTCTACCAGTAATTACACTAAGTCCTAACTCCGATGAAGCTGTAATCGCCTACTGGCTAACAGAACTAACATTACAGAGAATACAGGAAAAAGACGTAATAACAATGTACTTTATAGATAGACAGTAAGAATTAAGTTACCATTTCTTAGATATGATGATCAAAAACGGAATATCTGATACCTCAAAAAACAGAAAATGTCATAATGTATAGGTATCTTTAAAACAATTTCTAGAAAGAACTTAAAGTCGTGCTCTTTTATTACATATGACATTTAAGATGACGTCATTTACTCGCACTCAAAAAAAAGTAAACGTGAACATATGCCACAGACAATTTCAACGTCGAGGGCCCAAACTAAAGGTCAACCAGAAAGTTGAACCTAACTCATCAATTATTGAAACTCTGTGGTTTGACGGACCAAGAGATATAATAAAAATCCACTTACAGTAAAAGCCATAGGTTATTTTTCTCTCTGCATTAATAATGATGACGAATTGAAATATAAAAAAAAAAGTAAGTACGGATAAAGTTATTCAAAACAAATGGTAAAGATAACATAAAAGTTTTCTTCGTTTTTCATAACGTAGATTGTAAAAATCTACAACTTTAATGAAATAAATCAAAACATGAATTTTTAATTTTTATTTTCCATCAAATCTATTATTAAATCTTTTTAGTTTCTGTTGTTTTGTTTAAAGATGCCCGGTTTTAAGAATGTCACATTAGCATATTGCTAAATAATTTGCGTTGCTAAACATTTCAATAAAATAATTACAATATTATAGCACTATGATCGGTACTATGTTTTATAATATGTAAAAAAAAATCAGAAACTTTTAGCATTGTTGTTTTCGATACGTAGATGATAGTTCAGTTTATCTAATTGTATATCCAGCAATAATAACAGTCACTCAGAATAATATTTTTTTAATTTTAAGATGCCGTTATGTTTCGTGCTCCCTATCACTTTAAGTGACTGGGACACTACAAGACTTAACGACATCTTAAAATTAAGTAGCGTTTGAATATTTGGCCAATAAAGTAGTAATAAAATATATTCACATTACGATGTGTTTTAAGGAAATAACTTACCTTAGTGTTGAGCGAGTTTGTGGATAAGAAGGAGCAAAGAAGGATGACGGTGGACAGCCAGTGAGCCGACACATGTGATGCCGCCTCCATAGTGTAACTGAAAAGAAAATTGTTTTGTTAATATGACAAATCATCATCAACATTATCATAACACCGTACCATATCATCAAATTTTACGTGGTAGAGCCATGCTGCAGCCATATTATGGTTGTGGCATGAATGGGTCGGCTAGACCGGGAAAGGACCAGGCTCTCACACACAGCGTAAAAAAGCAGCTCAATGCTGCTGTGTTTCGTATGGTGAGTGTAGAAAACCGGAGACCCTTTTTACTGTTAACGAGGCATTTCATCTTAGTCCTCACGGTTGACAATGCATTTGCATTTTGAGTCTTAATCGAGGATAGATGTAGATGTCTATGGGCCACAGCATCCACTTACCATCAGGTGGAATAAGTTCTCGTTTGTCACTCTTATTCTATAAAAAATTAAGAAAACATACAAAATTCCAGTATGTTTGTGTTCGTAATTCTTCTCCTTTTAAACGGCTTGACCAATTTTGATGAAATCTTTCTGGGGTACATATGGGGTCAACTGGATGGTACTGAGCTGTAGTTTGTTGAGATCTAGAAGTACCTATATGAAACCGAGGCAGTTTCTGAGAGCAACGTCTAGCTTAATATAATACTTTAAATAATCTATTCTGAGATAACAATATAGCTCGAAGAACCGCCAACTTATAGGGAAAAAAGGTTTTCGAGTGACAGCCTCGTACCGGTAGACGGAAGTGTAGGAAGTCTCCCTTTCGACGGAGTGACAACCTGGTAAGACATGCAGGACGTCGACGGATGCAGGTGGCACACGATCGTGCTTTGTGACATTCTTTTGGGGCATCCCACATTCAGCAGTGGACTTGTGAATGAATGAAGGTAATAATTATCTGTGTTGTGTTTGACATTATAAAACAATTCAAAACCGCATTTCTTACCAAGGCTGTTGCAGGTATACTAAGAAGAATGCAGCGTCAAAGTATGAGTCAAATCTGACATGCGTTTGTAAATGTGACCACTAAGCGGAGTCCGTATAACGAAACCTTTACTTTCTACGATTACTAGAGTTGCACTGTTTTTCACGCGTCCACCGCTTCTACTGAGCGTTTTACCTCGGAGTCTGCGAAATCTAATTAATTTACTAACCATCAATTATTTTTAAGCGACAATAAAAATTTAAATATATAATAAATAAATATTAAAAATAGTAAACAGTTACTGTTACAATGTATCAAAAATTTACTGCTGAAAATAGGCCTCTAGATTGCCTTATAGAGGGGATATTTGCCATAATGGCCACGCTTTTTTTATAGGATAGGATGACAAACGAGCACACTGTCCACCTGATGGTAAGTGGTTGCTGTGACCCATAGACATCGACATTTATCCTCAATAAAGAATCAAAATGCAGATGCATCGTCACCCGTGAGGACTAAGATGGAATGCCTCTTTTCCAATAAAATGGGTCTCCGGTTCTCTACACTCACCATACGAAACACAGCTGTTTCGTATGGTGAGTGTGAGTGTCAAGCTGCCATTTTACACTGGTATTTTGTGAGAGCGTGGCCGTCCCTCCCCGGCCGAGCCGACCCATTCGTGCTACAACTATACTACGAATATATGTAACTGCAGCGTGGCTCTACCACGTATAAAAAGGCGGCAGGCGGGTTGGCAACCGCATTTTTTTATTTTTAGTTGTTATAAGGAAGACGCCGCTGTCCATCTCCTGGTTTGTTTCCCTTTGTCGCCTCTTACGACACACATGGGGTTCTACTAACCGATGTGCGGCGGTGTAAGAAGATCTATATTTTTACACCGCCGCTAAACACTCAATATGCTCTATATTGAGAAATCATATCGTAAATATGACAAATAATATCACTCGGTGATGAATCTACTGCTCGATATTTACTAAGCGAAGCTGAATCGTAAGAGTGACTCGCAAATAGAAATTATTCGTAAACAAATGAAGCAAATGTAATGTTAAAAAAAACTGCGTAAGAAATTTATGTTATAAAATAATTATTCATAAGGAAAATCGATTCAAAAATGTTAATACTCTAACTCTTATTAACATTCGCATATTTTGCATTTCTTTGTTTTTCTTTTATATTTAAGTATAATATTTTTTGTATTCTATCTATATTTCCTACACACTCGAAATATGTACAAAAAGATTTATACAATAACTATGAGGTTTCAGTCTTTGCATTATAACACTGTATGATTTGTACAGACTTGCGTAAATATATGAAAATTTTTATTTTGAATTTTTGAATGAAAAATCTTATAAATGCCATACGAGAATTGTAATAAGATACATTTAAACAAGGTTTATTTTATGTAGCGCGGAAAATAAAGATCAAGTTTCTGACTGGAAGCGGCCTATTGCCGAGCTGGCCTTCGCACATTATGGGGAGAATAATGGAACATTCGCGATTCTGTCACGTTGTCCGTATCTGTTGTCGGTTTTCGACCTTTAATGTCTTGCTTTCACCGCAGTATTTTGAAGGTTTGCGTTTTTAATAAAAATACAAATATTACTAGTTAGATATTAATTTTATGTTAGTATGATAATACCATCGCCAATCTACCTGCCAAGCGAGATGATTATGGCAGTTTCTTGTTACAATAGATGAGGCCCATTACAAGAAGTAGCGTGTTATTATTGTAATGTCTTCGATAACGAAGAAGAAAGAAATAAGAGATAGCGTGCCTGTCTATTAAGTGCTATATTGTTTGAAAGGCAAAGAAAAAAGGCATTAAGTTGAGTAAGTGAAGAGTGAATGCAAAACACAGAGTAAATGACCGTTACTCTGTTGTAGGAAGTTGGAATGTGTCAAGAGAGACACGCAATTTACTTAGCTGGGTTAGTCTGTACTTTAATGTATGGCAGTAACAGTTCGGTGGGGCAGAAAAAGCATTAGAGTAAAATTAATTCTGTAGAAATGTGGTCATTAAGAAGCATGGGGTGGACTCTAAATGATAGTCTGAGAAATTGTGTGATGAGAAAAAAAAGTGGTTTGCAAGATGTTGTGACCATAATTAAGAAACGTATGCTTCGTTGGTTTGGACACGTAAAAAGAATAAACGAGGAAAGAGTGACAAAGCAAATTCATGCAGAAGTGTATGGCAGAGTTGGCAGGGGTAGTCCAGAAGTTTGTCGACCAAATTGGCGATATATTAAAGATGGGTCAAGTTAAGATACATGGATGTGAAAGAAGCGAGGGAGGTATGTCAGGATTGTGCTAAATGGAAGTCCGTAGTCTTTGCCTACCCTATGGGTGACAGGCATGAGTTTTGAAGTTATATTATATTTTATGTTTATCTTTCAATGAGTACCTGAAATAAGCTATCCAAAAGACGTAATACACTCAGACTGAAGACGGGCAATCAAAAGGGAGGGACGTCTAGCACTGCTATCGTCCACCCGTCTGCCAAGCGAGAGGCTTATGTCAACCATTGGTCTTTTACGAGCCGATAAAGAAGAAAGTCGTTTAGATGACTGGTCTGGTGGAATAGTTTAGGCGAGCATTTAAAAATAAACGTCACAATCAAACAATTGCACACATGTAGGAAATTAAACGAGCCGATCATTTTCGCACGCAGTGTAAAAGGCCGAAAAAGAGGAAGTGAACGTGGAATCAAACCGGCTATCACAAATTAACCTTCAATCAGTAATTGTAAACACGTCAATATTCATTAATTCATCCATTACAGCAGTCATGTCAAAGATACGGTCCGCGGGCCACATCCGGTCCTCAAACCATCTCAATACGGACCGCGATTTTTAGACGGCATTCGATGCTACTGTGTATACTTAAAATTGCTCGCACTTTATATATGTGTAGCGCTCGCTGTATATTTCACAGTACGCGAGCAACCCGGGTTCGATCCCCACCGGCACCAATGAAATTGTTAATTGCAATTTTAAGTGCTGATTTACCACGTGCTCGGCGGTGAAGGAAAACATCGTTAAGAAACCTGCATGTCTGAGAAATAAGAAAAAAATTCGAAGACATGTGAAGTTCGCCAACACATTTCCATTGACATTTCCTTGCCCTAAAACCCTCTCAGAAATGAGAGTGCCCAGCAGTGGAAATACGTCCCACATAGGCTGTAATTTTTATATATGTGTAACTGTTCCGAATGTCGGCTATCCCTTTCGGTCACGCTCGTCCACGAGCAGCAAACCCACCGCTCCCTGTTAATTGCAAATGGAATTAATAGATCTTCAATGTCACAGTATATTATAAAAAACGTGAAGAATATAGATTTTTAAATTATCTATCCATTAGTGTAATCCTCAAATGATTAGAGCGGTGCCTTTAGCAATAGATGCATGTAATCAATAATTTTACTCATTTTTTAAAGGTAGATTTTAAATGTATTTTTATAACACATAAAAACAAATTAGAACGTGGAATGTGATGATAGGATATCGAACATTAATAATGTGCTTTTAGATGTAGTTTATTTCTCATAACTAATGAGATAATAGTCTCTGAAAAACGCACTATCGCAAGGTTTTGATCGGGGTATCACCTTAGGACTGACCACCGTAACCGAAATCGCGCGAAAAAGCGCTCAGCCTAAAATGATATGTCACCCAAATACCTTTGCCTATTAACATGTGTATAGGCTGTAACTTGACTTTTACTTCATTCATGGATATATAGAAACAGGTCGATCCCTGTCGGTACCTACCAATAAAATTGTGAATTGCAATTTTAAGTGCTATGTCACGCGGTCGGCAGTAAAGGAAACTATCATCAGGGAACACGTATGTCTTTTTATAAAATTAAAGTGACCAACAAGCTTATAGTCAACCTGATGGTAAGTGACTACTACAGTCTATGGATACTTGCAGCTAACTTCAAGCAAAGCAGACTTCAGATGCATTTTTTTAAATATTGAATAAGGGTGACAATCGAGCACACATTCCACCTGATTGTAAGTGGTTGCTGTGGCTCATAGACATCTACATCTATCTTTGTTTGTAAATTAAAATGCAGATGTATTTTCAGCCGTGAGGACTAAGATGGAATGCC